GGTTTGCCTTAGATATAAACCAGCATCATCTCTTTCAACCTCAATTCCCAGGAATTGTTTCAGATTTCCCATATCCTTGAGTGCAAAACTGAAGTTTAATTTATCTATAAACTCTTGTAATTGCTGACTATTATTACCTGTGATCACGATATCATCCACGTATATCAAGGCAAACAATATATCAGCTTCTTTTGTCAGGAAGAATAAGGAATTGTCGGCCTTTGATTGTCTAAAATCCCATTCCAGCAGAGTGTGTTTTAGTTTATCATTCCAGGCTCTAGGTGCTTGCCTAAGTCCATATAAAGCCTTCTTAAGTTTGCAGACATATCCAGGGTATTTTTTATTGACAAAACCTTGTGGTTGATTCATATAAACCTCCTCAGTCAAGCTCCCATTCAAGAATGCATTATTAATGTCTACTTGCCTTATCTGCCAGTTCTTTGAAACAGCCAGGGTTAGGACAATTTTCAAAGTGGCAACCTTGATCACAGGACTGAAGGTTTCACTAAAATCGACAACAGGTGTTTGAAGAAACCCTTTGGCTATAAGTCTTGCCTTATGCCTTATCACCTCTCCTTTTTCATTATGTTTCAACTTGAATACCCATTTATTGCCAATGACTTTTATCCCAGCCTTTGGTGGTACCAGGGTCCATGTTTCATTTTCCATCAGAGCACTGTACTCTTCTTTCATTGCCTTCAACCAGCAGCTACTTGTTAAGGCTTCATCAGTACTAGTTAGCTCAACTGTAACTAGTTCATCTAATGTCACAATAGTATAGATTTTTGGTTTAAAAATTCCTGCTTTGCTCCTGGTAACCATTTGATGGCCTGCAATCTGAGGTATATTTCTATCTGATAGGTTTGTTCCTTCTGTCTCATCCTGAGTATCAATTGGAGCTTCTGATGCTACATTTTCTGGTACCATCTCTGGGATTCTCCCATTATCAGAGTGTTCCATACCTCATTCAGTACTTGCTTCTGTCTCTCTATCGACAAGGTCTGTTGCAGAGGAGTTTTCAGGTTGTATTGCAGAAGCTGCAGCTGTAGTTGAAGGCATAGTGTGGTTGTTGGGATTAAGGAAAGGGAGATAGCTTATTTCAGTGTCAAATGACTGAGAGTGAGTTTGTCTGTTTAAGAACCCTGTTTCGAATGGGAATTCAAGCTCGTTAAAGACAACATGCCTAGAGACATAAATTCTTCCACTAGGACTTAGACATTTAGAACCTTTGTGTGAGTCGCCATAGCCAAGATAAACGCACTTTTGGGAATGAAAACTGAATTTATGCTTCTGATATGGTCTTAGGCATGGAAAGTAAGCACAGCCGAAGGTTTTTAATTGTTTGTAATCGAAGTTCTTATCAAACAGTGATTCATAAGGTAATTTATGATGTAAAACTGATGTAGGTAGCCTATTGATTAGGTAAGTGGCAGCTTTGAAAGATTCCCACCAATAACGAAGTGGCATTCGAGCCTGAGCTAGGAAAGTAAGCCCAGTCTCTGTGACATGTCTGTGTTTACGCTCAACT